CCCCTATGTAGTACCTTTCTCCGAATGTAGTACCCCAGGTACTATTCAAAATTAAGCTTAGATTTGCTTGAATAGTACTTGATACTAATGTCAGCGCTATATAGTAGATGATTATGTAAGCCATAATCTATCTATTACTTAACTGCATTTACTTAATATATTGATACATTATCATTTTGAAAAATATACTCTAAATCTATTTTTAATTCATCAATAAAAGGTAAAAAATTATTTTCTAAAATTTTAATATATACAGAACCTATTATTTTGTTAAAACTTGAATTAAAAATCTAATATTATTTTTTGTAAAACATTTTATATTATTATACCTTTATTTCCTAATTTTCCATTCTCATCATTACCAGAGTTTGCAGCTCTTTTTACTGCTCTTTTGACTGCTTTAAAAAATTGTAAAATGTTGATTTATACTAACTTTACTATCATAATCTCACAATACAACAAATGCTGCTCTATTTCTAGATAGTGTTCAATTTTCAGATCCTTTTTAAAGATTAATAATCTTATGCATTGGTTTTATTTCTTAGATATAATTTTCATTAATAACTTTAAAGTTTCAATAGTTAAAGTCAAAGTGTACGTAGACAGCTTCTATAATAATAAAGTAGATGCTTTTATAAGAAATTGTTTAGATACTACTACTCTTACACTCAATATCATCGCATCTCTTATAAGCTTCTATACATATAACAAACTACCTATTTTTATTCCAATTAGATAAATTATAAAGGACATTTACTGACACAAATATTTATAACAATTTCTCAAATTTTACATTGTTTCTAAATACTGATGTTTATTTTAACTCCATTGGTATGCTATATCATTCTGTCTTAATGATAATGTGATATCTACTCACATAACATATCTTACTTTAATAATAAAGAAAAAGAAATATTAATGTCTACTTGAAATATTGCTCATAATAAAAATCCTTAAAATTAAACACTTATTCTTATTTTCATTCTTATCCTTGTGTTCAAGGCGTAATATTGCTGATGAAAATTTTTGTCATATATGACTTTATCCTATAATTTATTATGAAATAAAACTTCTAATCTAATACTCAAAAGATTTTTTTAAATTCATTACCAATGCACCTTCTATTAAAATTAAAAGTTTGAACTATTGGAGACTATCAGATACTGCTTTCTTCTTAGTTCTTATTAAAAGTATCATTCTCAAATACCTCTTTAATTTTATTTACAATAAAATTACTAACATGATCAAAGCTTTGACTACCTGCTCCTCCTTTATACACTTTATTTTTGAAGAAACTTAACAATTTTAGAATGAAAGATATGTCATCTAATCCAATCTTGAAAAGAAAAAAAACATTAATATCAATCAAAAAATGAAAACTTTGTTTTCCCTAGTTTTGATCTCCCTTTTATTATATCTGACAATAATAACTCTGATCTGATTTTTACTATGATGCAATTTAGATCTTATTAAACAAATTTTTAGTATAATAGTGATCAAATTCTCTTCTGCTCTTTCTATTTAGTTTTTTCAAAAGTAATAATTTTAATTTAAATTAGAATTAATTCAGAAAGAAATAGGGTCAGTCTTTTTTAGATTAGTTTTTCTTTTTTTTATGAGATTTTCATTTTTTCTTCTTGATTTGTAATTTTGTTTTATTATTTTACTTTTATCATAATAAAAATAATGTGAAATTATCATACTTTAAAAATTAAAAAAAAACTTATTCATTTTAATATAATTTAGGAAAGTGCAGAGGCAATCTTCTTTAGATTAGATTTTCTTTTTTTATGAGATTTTCATTTTTCTTCTTGATCTGTAATTTTATTTTTTAATTTTACTTTTATTATAATAAGATAATATAAAATTATCACACTTTAAAAAAAAACTTATTTATTTTAACAAGAGGATTGGCAATCCTAATTTAGTTAGTAATAACTAAGCTCTTATTGTGGGTTATACTGCAATCACCACAGGTTCAGATCTTAGTCAAGGTATAAAATTAGATGATTTTCTTATAAATTTCATATATTTTATATGTAATTGAATATGTGAGTGTATACTAAGATACGTTTATAACTGATCAATTGATCTATCAATTAGTATTGATTATGCCTAAATGCTAGATTTTTAAGAATATGTGGATATAAATGAAGTTAGGGATTATTAAAAACTTAGCCTTTGCTGATAGATCTGTAATAGATATTGTCTTATGTCTTAAAATTCAAAGTCCTTATATAAGTAAAAAAGTGGTTAATCAATTATTAGTAGATTGAGTACTCCAAAAAGGGCTATGGTGATAATAAACTACATTGCACTGCCACAACATCATCCAATCAAGCTGTTATTTGAAGTAGAGACCAAGTTCAATTTCTGGATGATTTTGATGATATGGATATGACAGCCACATACCTTTCTGAGATTCTATAAGAATAATAACATCTAAGCCTTCCTGGTCATATGTAATATACTCTAATACCAGGTAGAAATAATAATAATTCTGATTCGTATTGATAAGTGTAAGAAAAAAGTGATATAAGTATCCTATTACTAAAAGTGATCCCTCTATCCAAATTTGACAATGGTAAATCTAGAAGTTTTAGGATTAGCTTTTGGGATGTCATCTAGATAGCAAGCCTTAGACCAGTATTTAGCAGATGGTTCTAGTTAGAATTTAAATCTAATCATAACCTTAAGAGTCTTAAAATTGGCATTAGGCTACTTTGTAATCCTAAACATACATACAATTGCTATATAGATTCCTAGTTCTTTGGATATTACAATTATAAAAAAAAAACTTATTTTAATATTAAGTTAAAGTACTTTAAAAATTTAACCAATTAAAGTTATTATATTATAGATTAATATAAAGCAAAAATTTCAATTTAGTAAAAAGGTCTCAGAGTCACATTTTTCTAGCAAACCTCCTATATTAGAAAAACAGAATATAATATAGAAAAGTAATAAATTATATTTAATAAATTTAAAATTTAAAAATTTTTTAATTTGTAAATGTTATTATGAAATCAGAATTAATTAATATAAAAATACATTGATTTTGGCAAATGTTATTTCTAGTAAAACTTACCCAATAATAATTAGATTTCTATATTTTATTTTTTTATATTAATATTGAGTTATATTTAAAATTTTTTACATATATTATTATGTAGTTGGCAGAGTTGAGACCAATTTTTTGAATCGCTATAACTTAGTTAATCTTTTTTTGCCGTTTATTAATGTCAGAGAAAAAGAAACTTTGAAGATCCAACTTTTTATGATGAACATATTGTTCTAAGTTATCATAATTATAATTGAAATCTTTGTTTAAAAAAAAATAATTTAGAAAAAATTTTATTCTGTTTATTATTATAAGAAAAGTAAATCTTTGTAATTAATAAGAATCATTTCTTAAATTAAGTATTCAAGTATTTATATTATAGGCTCAAATGTTATATTATGTTTATTAGGCATTATATCCATCACTTTCAATTTTATTATATCACCAAGTTGACCTGTTGATTTTGTAAGTTTTCCTTGTATCCCAAATTCTCGTATCAAAACAGTCCTATCACCTTTATCGAATTCTTCAATTATAATTCCTGTCATTTCTGGTAAACTTCCACTAGATTTTAATCGATTAATTAGATTAAGTATCCAGAACTTACTACTTCTCACTTGTAACCTACGAATTTCTTTTTCAAAATGTGTGATTTGAGGTATACTATTGGTTAACTCATCTTTGGAAAATGGCATACGTTCATTAAGAAGTGATGCTTTCATTTGCCAATGAGCAAGTAGATCACCATAACGACGTAAAGGAGATGTTACTTTGGAATATCCTTCTGTAATTCCCATAGAAAAATGTGGTTTAGGCTCAACAACGGTTTTCACAGGTTGCATAAGCGAGCGAACTTTAAAAATATGAGTATTTGGAAGGATTCCAACTTCTTTATCGATGTTTGATAAGATTTCATCTAGTTCAGCTGATTCACTTTTAGGTTGAGATCGAAACATAATTGGAATTTGCCTTTCTGAACAAAATATCGAAGCAATTCGTCCGGCCATTACCATCATTTCTGCTACCATCATACGCGCTGGTGAATAATTAAATTTATCGAGATTAACTTGAATTGTAGGTAAGCCAGTAAAAATCATAGGATATTGAAGATCAGATCGAGTCTTAAGTAATGGAAAAGGTGATAATTCTACATTCCCTTGGGGCAAATTTGAAGAGAAAGTCCCTTTTTGTTTACGACTTTTATAATGAATGTCTGCAATTTTCTGCAGATCTTTAAGATCCTGTTGTGCTGATAATGGAAGTGATTTGTATACATTGTCTGAGACAGGAATTTGGTGAGGATGAAAATAAATTTGCTTATAAATAAAATCAATTTCTTCTTTAATCTTTGAGAAAGAATCCCATGATAAAAATTTATCAATATCATCGTAATATAGAGTTTTAACATTTCTAATAATACTAGGTCTAACTTTATATTCTAGCAAACTTGCATCATTTCCTATTCGTGCACTGAAAGTCATCACATGATTTCCTCTTGTTTCTGCATTCACCCCTAAACTAAAAATTTTCTCACTTAAAGAAGATGGTAACATTGAATAATTTCGTTCAGGAAAATATACAGTTTGAACCCTTGAGCGAGCAATCTGCGCTAACCTATGACCAGGATGAATATAAGTGGATGGATCTGCAACATGAATGTGCACCCATATTGTTTCAGTTTCAAATGAATTATTTATCCGTTCTATTGAAATTCCATCGTCAAGTTCATGCGCTGTCGGATCATCTATAGTATAAACAGGTAAATCACCAAAGTCATACCGAATGCCTTCGCAAATATCGTGGGAATAAAAATCATCTGACCCGAGGAAATCTTTTGTTTTAATTAGTGGTGAAGGTGTTGTTGGCTTCGATGTGTTAAACGGTTGGGAATTCAATAATTTTTCAGACAACTTTATAATATCTTCCTGTTCTTTATCTGCCTCTTTAGACACACCGTGACCGCTCAATTTTGCTGTTTCGTCATAAACCATTAAGTTTTCCCAAGGTGCCCAAACACCAATTTCTTTCAAAAATTGAATTGCACACTCTCTGTCAAAATCACTTTCATATAACTTTAGTGGCTTCAAAATTGCCGATAAATGCGCTTCTAGTCCACTTTGATTATTCTTAGGAGTCAAGACGAAAGTTTTAACTAAATTAATAAACATTTGATCTTCAGAGGTGAATTCTGGTAAATACACTTCCTTAGTAAATGAAGGTAGCCCCGAAATATTTTCATTAATTTTAATTGAACGTATATGCTGAATAATTTTTGTTACTTTTTCTTGAAACTTAGTTACTCTCGAATCACGAAGACGAATCCATTCTAACACTCTAATTATTGAATTGACCGTTTTTTTTGATCTTAATATGTAAGTTCCGTTTTTCCTGACTTCCACAGGGTCTGCCATAAAAAATATATTTTCTTTAAAAAAGAACATATGCGTTGCTAATAATTGTACTTCGGTTGGAATATCATTCTGAAATATGTGACGAGCTGCATCTTGAATCGTAATCTTTTTATTTTCCAATTCATCTGCAAATTGTGAATGAATTTGACGAAATGCAAAAGTTTTGGAAAGTAAAAGAATTTGAGCTGATTTATTTAAATCAGCAGCGAGTTTTCCATAAGTCTCAGGGATTGGTGAACCAAATTCGAGTTTAGAATTGTTAAATTCTTTATTATAAGCATATCCTGTAATTTTGAAAACAATATCTTCTGAACGAGTTAAAAGAAGGTGACTGTTTGAAAGCAAAATTTCATTTTTATTTGCAGTTGATGTGGGATCGCTACTTAATTTTGTAATGATTCCTATATAAACTTTGCCATTTCTTTATAATCATAGTAATATTAATTATAATTAAATAATTATATTAGCAATAACAAGAAGAATAATAATTTTACTTATTTACCTTCGCACTTCTACCAAATCTCCTACTTGCAAATGAACGGAATTAGGGGATGCTTCAACAATATCTGATAAGTCGATCTCTGACTCCTTTACGTTTGATGTATGAAGTGTCAAATCCTTTTTAGGAATTTGTTTAACAATTTTATGTTTTGATAATTCCGAATGCTTTACAACATACTGATTAATAGGTTTTTGTGTCTTATTACTTTAATATAAATAAAATCGATTAAAAATCATTTATTATTTTTAAATATACAAATAACAATATATACCTTTTTTCCTCTTTAGCAACTTTCTTACGAGGAGACCGAGTTGGTTTTTTCGGTTTAGAAGGGTCGAGTACTGATTTTGTCGTCCAATGATATTTTTTGTACGAGCTTGAGTGAATTTTAAATTGTTTATTATTTATACGTACAAAGGAACTAACAAGACAAGGACTTATTTTTTGTTGCCTTTGTGTTAATCTAAAAGTTTCTTTTGCTATTGAAATCATTTTATCACCTGAAAGAGATTTTTTCCACATCTTATCAAAATTTTTTCGTATCACTCTCTAAATATAGAACAATCGGCACCGCAGCAAAAGCAAAAATTTAGACGGTTAATTATAAATAGATATTAATAACTTTTTGTATTGATTTAAAATCAAGAGTCCAAAATTTTTTGATAAAATTATTTTCTTTTAAAAGCTAAAATTTAATGTTTGTATATTATTAAAAAAAATATAAGTTATTATGTAAAATTTGTATTATAATTAATTGAAAATTGTAATCAAATTTGAATAAAATTCCTATTATTAATAAAATTAATATCAATTTTTTTTTATAATTATATCTTAAAATATACAAAATTTAAGTAGAATTAAATAACTAATATTTTTAAATCCTTAATCTCTAATTTTTTTAGATAAATTTATAAAGTTATTACTAGTAATCTCAAAAAAAAACTTATTTGCTTAATTAATGAAATAAATAATTTATAAATATAATTATAAAAGAAGAATCAGTGTCTCTAGATTAGTTAGTAACAACTAAGTTCTTATTGTAAGTTGCATCTTAGCTAAGGTAAAAAATAATATGATTTTCATTTATGATTAATATATAAATATATACTAATATGTATTAGAAACTAAATGATAAATCTATTAATCAATGCTTAAATAATGAGTTTAAAGAATATATAAATGCTTTTAATATTAAAGATCAATAAAAGCTTATAGATTTGTAATGAATATTATTACACATCTTCAAATAGTAAGAGCTTTTACCTTATAAGAAGTGATTAACAAACTTTTTAATATTACTAGTTATTTATATTATATTATTTGAATTTTTATTAATTATTTTATTTAAAGATTTTAAATTTACTATTTAAACTATAGTTTTTACTAGAATAATAATTACTTACTATTAATTTATAAAAGTAAATTAATTTACAATCTATATCAACTTTTAAAATATTATTGATATAATAATTCTAATAAAATTTTAATTATATTTAATTATATTTAAAAAATAAATCTATCTTATAAATGCTTGTTAAAATTTTTTAAAATAATTTATCATACCTTTTTTTATATTTTTAATATAGTTTCAGTAGTTTCATATTAAAAGGATTTTATTATATTTTTTATTATGATTTTAATATAATTTTATTTAAGTTTTAATTGTTATTAAAAGGTTTTATTTTTTATTTATAATTTATTTTAAATATAAATTTTCTAATAATAACTTATATATTAAAAATAAATTTTTTTTTAAAATTTTTTAAAATTCTTATTTTAATTTCTATTAAAGTAAATTCATATAATATTATTTTTATAAATACAGTCAACTCTTTCTACAACGAATTTTGATATAACGAATTTTACAATACAACGGATTTTCATTGTCGGACA